ATTATTATTTTTTGTTTTTATTCTGTTTAAAAATATTTTAAAGGTTAATTGAATTATTACTAAAATAAATATATCATTTGAATTTTCTATTGCTCCTATTCTCTTGCCTTTTTGAAGTTATTCCAATTCCATCCTTACCAAATTCATCAAATCTCATACTATAAATTAAGACATTAATATAAGTCCTTGCTAAATTATAATAAAAAATACCTCTAGTTCTATCACAAGCTTCTTTTAATTGACTTCCATTCTATTGAGTCTATTATCTTTCATATAATAAGAGTAAGGCAAACAAAAGGTTTTCGACCATCATTAAACTTACTTTGTGGATCTTTTTTAAAACATTTTTGCTTTTACTGATTTGGTAAAAAGATTTATATTGTTTAAATGAGCTTGTCTATACTCTCTTCTATTGCATAAAAATAGTCAGGGCAATATATATATTGATATAAGAAGAAATTCTTTTGTTTTCATCTCATTAATTTTATTAATTTATATACAAATGTAATCATTAGAGTAGCATTCTTAAGCAAAGGCTTAAGAATTGATCTAGTCTTTAGAAGTAAAAATTTATTCATTTTAATAATTAGTATTGCTATGTACATGCAACTTCTGATGATCTCTAGAAGATTAGGTAAAACAAATATGTTAAATTCTTATAGAGGAATAGAGGAGCCTTAACATGACAAGGGATAGCTTTAATTGATCTTATCTCAGGTTGAAGATCTTGATGAATCATTATATAAAGAGATTCTGGAAATGGTAAGAAAAGAGAAAATTTCAGATCTTTTGATATTTTTAAGAAACAATTAAAACCTAAAACATTTAAATGAGAAGGTGAAAAGAAAAATTCAAAAAATAACCAATTAGAAACCTAGAGGAAAATGACTTTAATAAGAAGGACTATTCATCGGAAGGATTAGAAGAAAGGAAAAAAGATCTTGTCAAGAAAATAAAACAAGATAGAAACCTCATAGAATTTTTGAAATTCCTAGTCCATATTACAGCCATTGATGAAAAATTTATAAGATGCGGATCAAATTCTCTACACTTATTAATTAAAATGAAATTAGATCTGACTAATCAATCGTTTGAAAAAATCAGGATCAGAGATACCTCATTAATGGGAGGAAACTTTGTAAGGTGTAATCTAAGTGAATCAGAGTTTTATAATGTGGATCTAAATGGAGTAAATTTGAAAGGAGCTACTATTTAATTGTAGGTGGAAGAACATTTAAATACACGAATTAAACAAACTAGAAGGGCATAGCTGTTTTGTTAATTCAGTCTGTATCTCACCTGATGGAACTACATTAGCATCTGGTGGGGGGGATAAGTATATCTGTTTATGGGATGTTAAGACAGGAAAATAAAAAGTAAAATTGTAGGGTCATTAACATGGAATCTACTCAGTTTGCTTCTCACCAGTCGGAGCTACATTAGCATCTGGTAGTCATGATAAGTCTATCCGCTTATGGGATGTTAAAACAGGAGAATAAAAAGCTAGATAGATGGTCATAATAACACTGTCTTATCGGTATGTTTTTCACCAGATGGAAATATATTAGCATCTGGGAGTTACGATAATTCTATCCGTATCTGGGATGTTTTGTCAGGATAATAAAAAGCCTAACTGGATGGTCATTCTAGTATTGTAAACACAGTATGCTTCTCATATGAAGGAACTACACTAGCATCTGGTAGTTACGATAATTCAATCAATATATGGGATCTTAAAAAACAATAATAAAAGATGAAATTAGATGGTCATAGTGATTATGTTCGGTCGGTATGTTTCTCGCCAGATGGAACTACGTTAGCATCTGGTAGTAATGATAAGTCCATTCGTTTATGGAATGTTAAAACAGGAGAATAAAAAGTTAAGATAGATGGTCATAATAATACTGTCCTATCAGTATGTTTTTCACCAGATGGAATTACATTAGCATCTGGGAGTTACGATAATACTGTCCGTTTATGGGAAGCTGATACAGGGCAATAAAAAATAAAATTAATAGGTCATTTATATGGAATCTACTCAATTAGCTTCTCACCAGATGGAACTAAATTAGCTTCTGGTAGTCATGATAAGTCCATCCGCTTATGGGATGTTAAGACAAAATAATAGCAGGTCTAATTGGATGGTCATTAAGGTGGAGTTTACTCAGTATGCTTTTCCCACAATGGATTTACTTTAGCATCAGGTAGTAATGATAAGTCTGTCCGTTTATGGGATGTTAATACAGGGTAATAAATAGCAAAATTAGATGGTCATAGTGATTATGTTAGGTCAGTATGTTTTTCGCCAGATGGAACTACAGTAGTATCTGGTAGTTTTGATAAATCTATCCGTCTATGGGATGTAAAGACAGGTAAATAAAAAGGGAAATTGGATGGTCATTGTAATATTGTCTATTCAGTCTGCTTTTCACCAGATGGCATTAAATTAGCATCTGGTAGTAATGATAAGTCCATCCGTTTATGGGATGTTAAGACTAGATAATAATAAATGTAATTGAACGGTCATATTAACACTGTCTAATCAGTATGCTTCTCACCTGATGGAACTACATTAGCACCTGGTAGTAATGATAAATCAATACATTAATGGGATATTAAAACAGGACAATAAAAAGCCAAATTGAATGGCCATTAATTTGGTGTATACTCAGTATGTTTTTCACCTGATGGAACTACATTAGCATCTGGTAGTTATGATAAGTCTATTTTTTTATGGGATGTTAAAACAGGATCGTAAAAGGCAAAATTGGAGGGTCACAGTGATTATGTCAGCTCAGTCTGCTTTACACCTGATGGTACTACTTTAGCGTCCGCTTGTGAGGATAATTCAATTTGTTTATGGGATATTAAAACATAAAAATTAACAGCCAAATTGAATAGCAATACTTGTATTATTTACTAAGTATGCCTTTTTTCTAATAGTCCTACATTAAAATCTCATAACTCTATCTCCTTATTTGATTTTTCAATATAATAATAAAACGCACAAAAAGATGGTCATAGTGATCATGTTAGATTTGTCTGCTTTACTTATGATAGTTCTGCATTAGCATCTTGCAGTGATGATACATTTATCTATATATGGGATGTTAAGACAGGATTATAAACTGCCTAGTTGAATGGGCATTCCAGTATCGTTAACTCAGCATGCTTTTCACCTGATGGAACTACATTAGCATCTTGTAGTCATGATAAGACTATTCGTTTATGGGATATTAAGAAACGATAATAAAAATTACAATTAGATGGTCATAGTAATAATGTCTTATCAGTATGCTTTTCAAGAGATGGAATGATATTAGCATCTGGAAGTGATGATAAATCTATCCGCATCTGGGATGTTTTGTCAGGATAATAGAAGTTCTAACTGGATGGACATCATAATATTGTCAACTCAGTATCCTTCTCGCCTGATGGAACTACCTTGGCATCTGGTAGTTTCGATAATTCTATCTATTTTTGGAATGTTTTGACAGGATAATAAACAATAAAATTAGATGGTCATAATGATTTTGTGTCATCAGTATGCTTCTCACCAAATGAAACTATATTAGCATCTGGTGGTAATGATAAATCTATTCGTTTATGGGAAGTTAAAACAGGATCATAAAAAGCAAAATTGGATGGTCATAGTAATTAAGTTAGATCAGTCTGCTTTAACCCTGACGGTACTACCCTGGCGTCTGGCAGTTATGATAAATCTATACGTATATGGGATGTTTAGTCAGGATAATAAAAATTCTTACTGGATGGACATACGAGTATTGTCTACTCAGTATCCTCTCGCCTAATGGAACTACCTTGGCATCTGGTAGTTTTGATCACACTATCCGTTTATGGGATATGAAGAAATATGTTTGGGTTTTGGATAAAAAATGCTTAGATTTTCTTGCTTAATGCAAAACTAACTTAAATTCAATCAATTCTCTGATAGAAAGTATAATTTCTTATTTTTAGGTAATTCTAATATTAATATTCTTCTTATATCCTAATCACCAGTATTTTAAGCATAAGCAGCTTTGATTCTGAAAGGAGAATTTGTAAATCATTATGGTATAAATTTAAGATAATTATTAAAATTTAAAGGAAGTTATTTTTTGGAAAGCAAATTAGAACAACAATGAAATTTAATGTTATATACACCAAATTACAAATATTTTTTATTTATAAGTTTTAATCTCTTTTTCATTTATGCGTTTATTAAAAATTGTTATTGAGAGAAAAAATTTTTCAGATCAAGAATTACCTTGAACAGGAGAAAATAATATTGAACAATGTAATGTTCAATATTATTAAATAATTCACATTGTCTTTCATAAAACTATATTGTTTAATTAATTTAATTTGTAAATTAGTAAATTTATCTAATCAAATTATTATTCAGATGCAATCTTTTTTTTAATCAAATTCAAGATTAATGGGAAAAATTAAGACTTTTATAATTATATAGCTAAGAGGATTTTATTTCTGTTTTTGGTTTTCAAACACCATGAATGCCTTACGCCAAATGCTAGTCTTATTCTAGGGTTGGCCAATACTCTCCTTCTACATCTAGCCGAATAATCATTTAAACTTAGAATTGCATTGACCTGAATTTGTTCATATATACTTTTATTTATGATATATTTATATCATTCATCTTAATTTGATCTAATAAAATTCAAATTATGTAATCCTTATATTATTCACCTGAATTTGTTCATATTAATTACTAATTATATTATTCTTATATCATTCTATTGATATTATGGTTTTAGTATTGATAAGAATTTCTTTATATAAATCTCTATTTATATATTCTCTTTATATAAATCTCTATTTATATATTCTTTAAATTGTGATAGATATTTTAAATAGAGTGAAAATTTTTTTTATGAGATATTAAGCAATTTTAATAAAAATGTAAAGAAATAGGATTCTTAAGATTAAGTGTTTTTGAAATTGAAGGAAATTATTTTTTATTTCATCCTATCCCTTGTTTGAGTTCCTTTAAGAGAATGGAATTTAGAGTTTCTTTTATATCATTTTAGATATCTTTTGAGGAAACTTGTTCTAATAAAAGTAGATGCTATATATTTTATGGTTACATTTTTAAGATAAGTGAAAAAATGAGAAATATTAGACCACTTTTGTTTACATTATTTATTTTGAGATTTATCTAATTTTATTTTAGAGAAGATTTTATAATGAGGTTGATTTATATTTTTTGAAATTTTATTTCTTTCTTTAGTTGTTCTACCAAATTTATAGAGGGATTAATAAATAAAAATACTAATCTGTTCATTTAATTTAACTTAGACACTTTCATGTATTTCTTACATTTATTTAAATTGATCACCAATTTCTTAATTGCATTTAGATAATTTTTGCATTATAACTTTAATCCTCTTACTTCTTCATTCCTATTCTTAAAATCATTTCCCTAAGATATTTCAATTCAATAATACCTAAATTGTGCTTATATTTTTGAATTCATTTACTATTCTTATTTAAAAATTATATATATATAATTAAAGATAATGTAACAGGATCATCTAATTTATTAAAATCAGTATTTTGTACATTATTTTAAGAAAATAACCATTTAGCCAATTTCGTTGGTGTTAAAATGCTCGAAGTTTTGAAGTTTTGAATTGACTCGATAATTCAGATAAATTAATTTAATTAACAAAAATGCTCCATTCAATAATTTTCCACTTCTACTTATTCGAGTTTGTAAAATTACTTTTATTTTACATAACTTAATTCATAATTCAATAAACTTAGTTTTTTTTTTCAAACAAATCTTCATAATATCTATTATAATTTTAATATATAACATTTTTAATTATATTTCACCATTATCTGTTTGTAAGGTTACAATTAAATTTATAGATTTAGATTATCAAGATTAACTTCTATATCTCAGTAAATTTATCTTAATTCATTATGTCCTTCTTTAATTTTTATTACTTTGATAACAAAATAATTAAGGCTTTGCTTTATAATTCATTTAAATAGTCAATTTATACTTTAAGTTAATAATCTAAACTAGTTGTCATAATATGATACTATTTAGTTCTTTATCTTTTAATTTCTTGCAGAATCTGATTAAATCATCTTTTATTTCTAAAATATTTTACTAATTTTTTAATATATTGTTAAAAGTGTTTATGAAATTTTTTCAAGAATTGTTTCTAAAAACTATCATATTTATTCATAGAATTAATATTTAAACTGATTCTATATGATAAAGCTATTTCTATAAAGAGGTTTATTTTGTATCCTTATATAAATACTGCATTTGGAACAAACTAAATCAGTCAAACTAAACCTTAGTTTAGCAAATGGACACTAATCATTTGGTATTTTTATAATTTTAAGCTTTCCTTACCTTCTTATTTTGATGAGCCTAGCAAATTTCTTAAGTCAAATTAAATACTTCATTTCCGTTATTCAGCTTTTTAAAGATTAAAATTAATCGAAAACTCTATTATATTATTCATTAGAATAATATTTACTTATTCCCTCTCTATTTTTCTAAGTTTATTCCTAAATTTGTTATTTTTGAAGACTAAGTTAGGCCTCAGAATTTTCTAGAGATTAAAAATATAAAATATTTGATACTTATATATATATAACACTTTAAATATTCATACTAGTTAATTTATAATAAATAAGGTTTCAATTTAATAAAAATTCTTAGTAATTGAATACAACAAAATAATTGTTAAATGACTTCTTAAAAAATAATTAAAGGATTTTTTTAAATATTTAAGAAATTAATGATCTTTTATAAAATCTAAATAATAATACTCATCCTTTCAGCAACATAAACTAATTAGTTAATAACTTATTTTGCGAAAATCTCTACGCTGTTATATTTTTAAATTCTATAGAGCTTGATTCTAGAAAAAAAAAATATCAATAATATTTGAAATTCAGTCCTAGAAAATATCAGAGTTTTTAATGTTTTAAAAATGTATTAATTTATTTAAATTCCTTAATATTAAGCAAATCATTTTAGCTATTTATTTTGAATATTCATAAATACTTTTTA